CGCGCCGCTGCTCTCGCCGCCCCACCGCGCCCTGGCGCTCGAGCCGCGCCGCGACTACCCGGCCGTGCCCCGCCTGCTGCACGGGCTGCCCGACGGCGCCCACGGCCTCGCCGACGGCGCGCTGGGGCTGCACGGCCTGGCCCACCACGGCCTCGAGGACATCCAGGTACCGGGGGCGGCGGGAGGGAAGCGGGGATCGCTGCAGTCGAGGGAGCAGCAGCCGGGGTCCCTGGGCCCGATCCGGCTCGCACGGGAACGGCGGCGGGACCCGGCAGAAACGAAAAGTGGCCGCTCGAGGAAGAGCCCGGCGCCCCTCGGTGGTGGCGGCCCCGGGGCTCCCCGCCAGCCCGGCCGGGATCCCGCTGCCGGGGCCGCTCCCGGGCCGCTCGCCGCCGCGCCGGGGTTTTTCGTTTCTCAACGATTTCTCCCCGCCGCGGCCTCGGAGCGGGCCAGGACCGAGCTCCAGGACCGGGCCGGGGAGCGGGACCGCGGGGCCTCCCCGAGCGGATCCCGGCAGCCGCCCCGAGGGTCTCGGGGACGCCGCGTCGCTGCTCACGGCTACCGCTTTGCTGCTTTCAGGCCGTGGACGACAGCGGGATGAACCTGCTCGATCAGTCCGTGATCAAGAAAGGTAAGAGGCGGCGGCGCCCGCCCCGGGGCTGCCCCGCCGGGGCTCGGCCGGGAGGGCTCGGAGCCGTCGGGCCAGGGGGTCGCTGCCCGCGCTGGGGCAAGGGGCGCGACGGGGCCGTCGGCAGCAGCGGCGCAAGGAAAGCGACGGGTTTCGGGAGCGGGAATCCGGCCGGGCCTGCAGCGGGACGCGGGGAGCCCCGGGCAGCCCGAGCGAGGCTCCCGGGAGCACCGAGGAGGGTCCGGGGACGCGCACGGCCCCGCGCCCCTCGGAGGGCAAAGCGCTGCGTCCCGGCGCTGCGTCCCGGCGGGAAGGGAACAACCTGGGGCCGCACCGGGAACTCGGCGGCGGGTACCGGCTAAAACCGCCCCTGAGCCCGGCAGGCACCGGCGGCTCCGGCCGCGCTCGCAGCCGCTGCCCGGTCCCGTCCATAGCGGCTCTGAAGCCCCGAGCCGCTCCGTGGGACGCGACGGGTGCGCGGGGGCCTCGGGGACTCGCACGTTGTTGTTCTGGGGACGCAGCCTCGTTACAGGAGGCCCTGCAGTGGAGTATTAATGATCGTAATTATTTCAGCTTTAATTAGAGCACCTAAGAGGCATTTCATTAAACACCCCGACATGAGAAACACTCGCAACAAGCGCAGTTGGCGCTTTTATCCTCTTGCTGGGCTTTTGCTTCTGTGTTTGGGCCAGGAGTGGTAGAGGTCCCACTGGAAAATACCCCTCGATGGGAACATTTGTCTAGAAAGTTGCGCGAAGCAGCAGCGGGCTGTCTGGGTTTTTCCTCCCTTTGGAAAAAAAATCGTGGGCTCATTTAGGGGAAAAAAATACTTCGTGCCTGGTGGAATTATTGCTGTTTTGTACCAGATCTGTGCCTGAATATCCTCTAGCCCTTCTCTTTCGGGGAGGGGAAAAATGAGGGGAGGAAAAGGGGGGGAAAATGAAAAGAAAGTAAGTGAAAAGAACTTCGTCTGAGGAGCGGGGGCCTGCGGATACAAGTTGTCCGCAGCCTCGGTGCCTACAGCCACGGGCGCTCCCTTGTCAGGGATTTTTTTTTTCTCTCTTCTTCTCTTCTTTGTGCTGTGTTTGGAACAAAGGCGCAAAATTTGTTTTGGAGAATAACTAGATTTTGGGCGCAGCCATTCGGGAGACGACGATGCCCTGCACAGGTTGCCCCGCTCTCCCCTCCGCAGTTTTAAGCGCTTCATCCTCCTGGAGAAGGGATAGATGGAAAGGCGAGGAGCGGGGCTAAAGAGCCCACACCAGGAGGATCGGGCAGAGGAGGAGGCGGGGAGGTCCCGGGCGGCGGCTCCGTCCTGACTGCAGTGCTCGGGATCGCTCCCGGTCCCGCTCCGGCCGCGCCCGTTCCGCCCTGCCCGGGCTCCTGCCGCGTCCCCGGCCCGGAGGCAGAGACACTTGCTCGTATTTCGATGGCTCCGCAGCCCCTTCCCTGCGCGGCCGTCTCAGGCGCGAAGCCCGGGGAAACGGGAGCGTTTTAACGGAGCCGCTGCCATGGGAATGGGAGAAGCCGCAGCAGGGAGGGGGCACCCCAGGAGCCCCCCACGGCCCTGTCTCCGTACCCTGTCTCCTCTCGGCAGCCCGTGCTCTCACCTGCTCTTCCCGTCCCGGCTCTGCCTGGCTCTTCTCGCTCTGCCGCGCCGCGGTTTCCCCGACTTCTCTCCTAAAATTTGGGAAAAACAAAATATTATTTGGGGATCCACTGTCCCGCACACCTGTGACCAGGGGAGCCCGCCACTGAGCTGCTTAGCGCCCAATTAATCCTCGCACAATCGCGTGTTTGCTTCGCTCGCCATCCCGCAGCAAGCGAAGCCGCCTGCCCCTATCCCAACTCTCGGAATTAGGTGTTCGGCAGCCGGGTTTTGCTTCGCCTCTCTCGGCTGAACGAGGGAGCCCCGGCTCGAGCCGTTCCGTTCTCCGGGCGAGCAGCAAAACCCAGAGAAACCCCAACGATCTGGGACAGAGAGCGCAAGTTCCTGCGCGGCGCGGACTCGCAGCTGGGGGGTCTCTTTCGGAGAAATTATGCGCAAATTTAAAAGCGGAGTTTTGGCAGAAACTGCGCTGTAATCGCAAATAATCTCAAATAGCACCCTGGTTATGAGTAATCCTTAAATTCCTCGCAGCATAGCCCTCTGACAGAGGGCTGATATCAATCTGTACATGTGAAAACAGATAAATCTCTCCTTAATTAGTTGCCGCGATACTGTTGTCCCGGTTCAACAAAATATTAATCACCTGCCCCAACCCCCTAAAGCGACCTTTTAACTTCTGCGCTTGAAAGACGCTTTTAATTCAAGCCAAGTGCGGGAAGTTCCACTCAAAAATAGCCCTATGTGTTGGGAAGAGCCCCCGCAGCTGCCTCCTGTCCCCTGCGCCCCCCCGGGCACATCATGTCCCGGCTCTTCAGTGCAGCGCCTGCAATTGTGGATCGACTGGAGCAAATCCATATTCCCTGGGCACAAATTGATACTAACGGCGAGTGACTGAGATTTAATGCGAATTGTTGGGCGGCGGGGCGAAACGCGCGAGGCGGCAGCAGTCGCTCCTGGTCTCCTGCCCCGCAGCGCACGTAGAGCCGTGGGCAGCGGCCCCTCCGCCCCGACAGCCAAATACTCCATATTTGCGGCTCCGGAGTATTTTATTTTATTTTATTTTATTTTATTTTATTTTATTTTATTTTATTTTATTTTATTTTATTTTATTTTATTTTATTTTATTTTATTT